AAGTCGCATAAGGGCCTACAGAGAGCCTTGGTGCACTGTTTCAGAATAGCTGGCATGATGTCACCACAAACCTCTTTTGTATGCAAAGACTAGGGTTGTTCTCTCGAATTCTCATAGCTTCGGCTACGTGTGAAAGAAAACGTACAAGCAGATGGATAGTGAAATTTGATAGCCAAAATTTAAACAACTAAAAAAAACTACGACGGTAGCAAAATGAGAGAACGAATAGTAGTCAGAAGATTGAGACAAGGGAAAATAAGCAATAGTAATGGACGAGTTTAGATCTAAGCCCACTAATAGTATGTTTGGGTTTGATAAGGAGTAGGCCATTTGGATGCAGTCAATTGTGCAGCTTGCTCTAAAATCTTTATACCGACTGCGCAGTAGCCACATCTTCTAGCGAAGAGTTTCAGGGGTGGATGACTAGAAAAGAAAAGATATAGGAGCACAGTAGAGTCTTCGCTGTGTGATGCGCTACTCTTTGTAGGTTGACATGAGGAAGTCTGTGGGCCGCCAAAGAAATTCGTTGAATCGGTTGGGCCCCATACAATCAATTTGTTTAGCTGTGCTGATTGAAATACAGGGTCGATTACTAGATTTTCTAGGAACAGGAGCTCGACAGCTTCTTTGAGGTGTCACTGTGTATCGCTACACCGTCTTCAGATTACCGTCAGTACATGCGCATTTCGGCAGTCGTAAGTGTTATGTTCTCCCTTCGTTAGTCAAGGCGGTGTTAAGAGCTGCCTGGCCACCAGGTTGGATGGACCGGACTAAACAGTCAGTAGAGAGTGTGGCCATAGCTCATATTTTGAAGGATAGGCTGGTACACATCAGTCGTGGGCGTTGTTTCTAATCGAAACCAGCTGGAAGTGGGCTCGAATTCGTTCGGGCGAAGCAAATGATATGGCCGTTAACACACTTGTATTTACGCCATCAAATTTTCCGCCTAGTCGATTTGGGAGCCTACTGTTCTATTCACTAGCAGCAGCAACAACGACAATATCACGACACAACACCACCGGAGACGTGACGCAAAATACAAGAAGAGAAGTTTGGCTGTCGACGCGGAGAGCATTCACTGTCTCGTATCAGCAAAAAAATGTTTTGATGCTTGAAATAACGTTGTGAGTCACTAATTACACTGATAAATTAAAACAGCCAGCAACCAAAAGGATTTTAAGGTCATAGGTTGTGTGAGAGAAAATTAGGTCTATAAATCAATTAGTGGGGTTAGGGAAATAAAACCAGGCATGTAAAAGTACATGCAGAATATTAGATATGTATATTTATATATCACTAAACAGTCGGTTTCCTAGGAGCCCAAACGTTTTTAATAGCAGAATACCTTTCTTTGGGTGACTGTGGGCATTTTTAATCCTATAGACAGTGATTAGGTTACCCCTAAGCTGACAGTCGCTGGGTATGGAAAGAACTAATTTCTTCAACTTTTCATTACAAGGTCTGTTCCGGATACCCACCATCCGTTCTGTCACCTATCTTTGAGCCCGATCCAAAAGATTGACCTACCTTCTAAAAAACGAGGAAGCAATGGCATTGTGGACTTCAAGGTGCGGTCCAAAGTATTTTTGTTCAACTTTAGAAAAGCACAGGAGTGGGGGCACCTGTGTGAATGTAAAATGATTACTTTGATTCACATACTTAGTTGACAAGAGAAGTTTTGAAGTCGCTAATAATCATTTCTCAATAATCGTCCATGTTCTTTTAATCCCTTCATGAATGAGACAAACGAGGTTGCAAACACCACTTCTTATGGGGGTTTGTTATTTGTGTGAATGTCTTGGTGATGAAACCAGAAATATAATTCATCCCTGGCAATGAACTTTCCTAGAATGCGTTCCAAGATGCTCTGATTCAGAGCCAAGAAAGAGAAGATACTTCAAGTCCGTTTCCATTTCTTATGTTTCGGTTGACGCCGACAGATCCCATCCAGGCTTACTTCTGAAGGCCGAATTCGACACTGAGAGTATTACCAACCGCATTGTGGAGACTCTTGGAAGGTCATTTGTTATTAATTGGATCCCTTCCTGATCCTGCTCAGTATGTCATTGGTGAGGTTGTGAACTTAAAGAGACTTAATATTCCTCACGTTTGGTCATAAAAACAATTTTTGGCATGTTTAATTGGGTTTTGAGGCTTATCTTTAATGATTTCTTGCCACAGCTGTGTTTCTAGCCGCAGAATTCAGCTTCCTGGTGTCTCAAAACACTTGTGTTCGTACCCGAGTAGACCACGAATCTCATGGCTCACCTGTGGTGAAAGGCAGTGTTTCCAACCGTTGGAGACAGTCCGTGGGATCCAGCTTTGGGATATCCAGGCATAGAGCCGCTGGAACTGACCCAGTTCAAGTTCCTCATAAGCCCTCGGACTTAAATCTCAGTCCTTTGATGAGGCTACAGGAATGATAGTTTTGTTTTGGCTTTCCACAGGTTCGGTTGTTCTGGAATTTTGACCCCAAGTATTATAGCAGCGATCACCTCAAAAATGAGCAGTGTGGTCGTTTGCTCTTGATCATTGAAAATGTCATGTGAAGTGCAAATTCTCATCATAGGAGCAAACAAAGCCCAAGTCAGACGAAGGGTGCTGAGAATTATGACGTGTTTCCTTAAACGAAGAACTAGAGCCGATCAAATAGGGGGGAATTCCACCCCCTTATGGTGGAGAAAATTTCCCGGTAATGTTCTACGTGGTACATTCAACGTTCGCGTTACATTTTAGCGTGATTCGTTATTTATAATCTGTCTTTGTTGCAAATTTCTGACAAGTATTTCTCTAGGTATACAATAAGGTGTGTGCATGTGGGTATGCGGCAACAGTTGTCTATGTCTTCTTATGGAGGGGCTAACACATGCTTTACAATTGTTGCCGCATACACATTCACACACACTACTGTATACCGCATGTACATACATTTTTTTCATATTCAGTTATCTACGACTATGAACATTAGTCGAACTCAATCACTAAAAATTCTGATGCAAAAGTGCACATTGTTTAACAAACTAGCGCAATATTTGTGAGCGTGAAGTAAAAGTTAGATCACAGTTCATGCAATTTTGCTTATTATATTATGATGCCTGGTCCATGACGCATATTGCTAGGCTAAGTTTTTAAAAACGAAATATGTCCTATTATATACAAATCTTCGCTAATTTAATTTCGATAAATTTCCATGAAGTGGTTCGGACCAGTTTGCCGAACGAAACGTTGGTATTATTCATTTCAATTTCGCTGAGATTTTACAAATGTAACTTCTGCACATGTCTACTTCTCCATCTGCAGACAACTATTTTGGAACTATTCATTCACATTTCATATGAACTCCCAACATACCTTCAGATTACAACTTCGTGCATCTTTATTTCGATTCTCCATGAAGGACTTGTGTTACGTAAAAAATTGAACATTTATTCAGTACGCACAATCTATAGGCGGTACATTCAACGTTTTGGCGTGATTAGTTATTTATAATCTATTTTTGTTGCAAACCTCGTGCAAGTGTAACCATTAGCTATTTCACCAACTAGTTATGGTTAATCTTATAAAAGTATACGAACTATGTCACCTGTTAACATGATGACTAATAGTACATATCTGCTTGCTACAACAAGCAACACACCTCTTATAAATTGTTGTAGTGGGTCATACAGCTCGCCAATACGCCGCAAGCATCGAGCTACCGTGACACTACCATCGAACGCGGCTGGAACTGAGAGCGAAAATACGCTGACAATAGCATCAATTCTACGAATCGAGCACCTGATTCTAGCATAAACCTCTTCACTACACCTCATGTATGTGTTACCATACTTCAGACACTAAGTTCAGCTTCAACACTTACTTCAGAAATAGAACGACTAAAGCTGTCTGCAGAAGAGCTGAAGACTAAGATGGAGGAAATAAGGTGCAAGAACTGGCGTGGAATAATGCTCTTGTCCACCACAAGTAAAATACTAAGTGGCATCATCCTGGAGAGACGAAAAGATGCACTTGATGCGGAACTCCGCCCACCACAACAAGCTGGTTTCATGAAAGACAATTCATGTGCTGACCAATTGGCATCCCTACACATTATCATGTAACAGAGCATAGAATGACACTCAAATCTCTGAATCAGCTTCATCGACTTCCAAAAGGCCATCGACAGGATTGATGGCGAAGTAACTTGTAAACTACTTCACCTATACGGAGTGACCCAACTATTTACTAACTCCATTCAACAGCTACACACAATACTACATGTCAAGTAGTTGACAACGGAAAATTTCACCAAACCTTCAAAATGAAGACAGAAGTATGACAAGGCTGACTAATATCACCGATGACATTCCAAATTGTGGTGTACTGGAATGTGCGGCACGTTGTACATGGGGAGCGAGAAGGCAGGAATAAGTCGAGGCGATAAGAAGACTAGACGATCTGGGTTTCTTGGATGATTTACCTTTAATGTAACTCAAAGACCTACAGACTAAGACCAACAAGTCGCCAGAAGAAGCATTAACGACAGGAATTCAAGTGAATATAAAGAACACAGAGGTAATGAAGACAACCAACCAAGAACAACAAGCACCAATCGCTATCAATGGAAGAAAGTTGAACTAGGTGACCTCTCTCACTTATCTAGGCAGCAGCTGGTAAATCTGCACTAGCACTAAGAAATAAATTCGGATCCTCAACACCAATGTTAGATAGGCGAATTCCATAAACATGCTAAGCAAGCAGTAGTTTATCAATACCCAACCTATGTTAACAAAACTTCCAATAAAATCTTAAGCCTAGGTAGAAATGATTTACCAATAAGTAAAACACCACATAAAATCAAAATATTTATAATTGATATGTACACGAGTATTAAATAGTATGGAAACACTTAAATCAATAAAAAAGCAATGAACACGTGAACTTTGAACTACAGTGTTGTTGTGTCACCATTTTGGAGGTAAAGACAAAGCTATCCTTCAGAAGGAAGGAAGGACAGGGAATTAGTTAACATCACAATCAGAAGGCCATAAAATGTCTTTAAAGTAAACCAAAGTTTTACGTAAACCTTCTTGTAGGCTGACAACTGGTTTCCAATCTAAGTGTTTCATAGCTGTGCTGATATCTGGCTGTCTACGTTGTGGATCATCAATAGGCGATGGCTGGTAAATTACTTCACTTGAGCTGCCTACATAATGTGGTAAGCGAAAAAAAAGCAAAATAATAACAATATAATAATAACAGAAGTGGAAACCAATTCTTTCGGTGCAGCAGTTCGAGTCGCCACACTTCACTCAGCAAACAAAGCCAGCGAAGAAAGTAAAGAGGAACGTAAAATAGAGACAGTAAACGGAGATATGAGGCAAGAAGAATAGTAATATAGAAGAACTATATAGTTTCCTTGGGTATTATAAGTCACAAGGAGTGGATGCATCTGCACCAACTATTGAGAACGATTTTGAGTCATATCACCAATTGTATCCAGTCATTGGTATTTACCGTCCCGAGGGCCCCAACCAGTGAGGAAGTTTACGCCTTCCTACGTGACTTAAACTAACTGTTGTGGATTTCATTGATTGATGAAGCCATGTTTTGGTTTGACCACCACTGGCTCTTTTCCAACCTGACCCTATGTCAGCCAACGTTGCCCGTCTAGGAAGGCGATGGCTAGACATGCATGCGTAACACATGTCCTAACCATCTCAGTCGATGTAACTTCACAGTCTCGTCGATTGATTTTCCCTCCTTATCTAGCACTCAACGCCTGACCACAATATTGCTCACCCTATTATACCACTTCACACGGGAGATAGAATGCAGGCACCTATGATCAAAGACAGCTAGTCTTTCCATGCCTTCCACTCTCAATGGCCATGTCTCACAGCCATCGCCTTCAACCATCTAATTAAACCCAATTCCAAGGAAAAAATGTCAGTATTGTACATTAGTCCACCCTATGCAGAAGTAAGTAGGATGCAATGACCTTGCACAGTTCACCAATAAAGAGATACAAATTAAAGCATGAACAGTCGAGGAAAGACAACTTCGTTACCATAACAGCGGCTAGTCTAATGGGAAATAAAACATGATCACATACATAAAAGGATATCTGTGAAATAAAAGCTAGGATATTAAGAACATCTGAAATAGATATAACAAACAAGCTGGCACAATCACTTCATTCGATATTGTGCAAACCAAAAGATTCAACAAAAAGAGAAGATAGAATCAACACCATTAATTACTAAATAAATTGCATCAACTGCGATAAATGCTATATCAGTCAAGGTGAGCTTCCCCTTCGAATCAGAATCGAAGAACATAAATTAGCTGTGATGAAAAGACACAATATATATTCTTTCATATCGATGCATTTAGATAATTGCTGAGACGAATTTGATTGGGATAATGTGGAAATCGTGAACAGAGGACAGACCAAAAATACTGCCAGGGAATATCTAGAAACCTGATACTCAGGCGAATCGGCAATTGACAAAAACATTACTCTATGGACCAAATTTACCAGCAAGAAAGTTGAAATTTCAAGTCGATAAAAATTATCAGTGTAAATTGATAACCAATCACCATACATACAATGGTTGTCGGGTGATACAATTATATCATCATTCATAGAGAATTTAAACAAGTTCAATTTATATTAAAGCTTGCTCCGAAGATGTTGTTTGGAAGGTGAGCGACAAAAGCTTGGCAGTTAAATCAACCAGATCTGAGAATATGAGTAAATCAAAATCATCCACTTGAGCTACAAATCTTCTCCATTACTTGATAATTATACTAGAAGTAATCCTAATTTGGTTACGATTTCAGAAAAACAAATGAAATGAAAACAGAAGCAGCATTCAACTGTAGTGAAGATAAGAGTGAGTGAACTGCCAGATAAACACTAAGGAGACCACCAGCAACTCTTCCTTTACGTACGTACAACCAAATCACCAGTCGTATGGAGAAAGTCGGTTGTAGTCTATTTAGTCGTATAAAACGTTTTCCTCTTTAAGTAAGACACAATTTCTCAATACCAGCATTGCTGATCAGTCGTGATTCAATAAGAAATTTAGAAAAAGTGTTAAGTTCTGCAAACCAGAAGTGTGCGTTTGTGTGAGTGTGGCTTATCTCGTTACAACTTCATAGAATTTACGATGAATCGCTCAGAATAATCCCTTTTAAGACAGGATGCTTTTAGGCGCATTCGATTTAACTGTGGTGTTATTTAGACTATAGCTATTGCAGATTCTGATCACAGGTGTTACCAATGAGATGTATGAAGATACTATTTGAACTCCAAAGGCCATGTCAAGTGATATTTTAAGACCTGAAGCTTGAGAACAAAAATAAGATGAGCACTCAATCAATGGATCTGTCATGAACACAACTATTAAACCTTAGACACTGTGGTAGACCATAATTCCATTATAGATAGAGTCAATTTATTTTGATAAAGTCTCACAGTCTTATACAGTAAGTAATATTTACCGATGACGACGTTACGAGCATAATTTACTGCCGCTCATAATTAACTTTCCCCTTTTCTGTTTAACTTCATCATAGATATGCTAATGGAAGTATCCTTAACTGAACTTAACGACTTAGGAATCGACTTGTTACCAGGGAATAGTCTTATGGACTTAGAATATGCAGATGATATAGTCCTTCTAGGCGAGGATGCTGACAAAATGCAGAGTCTTCTGAACACCCTGAGCTGCAATCTACGGATGTTTGGCATGCGATTCACCCCTGTAAAATGTAAGATGCTGCTACAGGACTGGACTACGTCAACTCCTAGCTTCGTGATAGGGAGTGAAGTGATAGAACATGTTGACCACTTCACTTATTTGGGAAGTTGTATCAGCACCAACGGATTGATTGGTGACGAAATCTCAGCACGGATCCAAAAAGCTCGGGCTGCTTTCACTAACTTACACCATCTCTGGAGTAGGCGTGACATCCGACTATCAACCAAGGGACGTGTGTACTGCTCAGCGGTTCGCTCCGTCCTTCTCTATGGCTCTGAAACATGGCCAATACGAGTTGAAGACATGAAAACGTTGACTGTTTTTGACCGCAGATGTTTACGATCTCTTGCTCGCGTTAGGTGGTATAATGAAGTAAGTAATGTTGACGTTAGGCGTAGAGTGTTGGGCAAAGAGGGAAAATCAATCGAAGAGGCTATAAAGTTACATAGATTGAAATGACTAGGTCACGTGCTGCGCATGCGTAACCATCGCCTCCCCCGACGGGCATTACTAGCTGATATAGGTGCAGATTGGAAAAGAGTAAGTGGTGGCCAAACAAAAACATGGCATCAATCCATGAAATCCCTGACAGTTAAACTGAGTCAGGTAGGGAGATGCAGACTTCCGGGTTGGGGTCCTCGGGACTCTAAGAATCATCGACTGGAGACAATAGGTGACATGACTCCAAATCGTTGTCAATGGCTTACGCAGATGTATTCAGTCTCTGTAATCTTTCATATTCCTTTCTACCATTACTCATTCTGTTTCACTCTTATACTTATCAAAACTCTATTGATTCTCTTCACTCATTTTCTTGTCTACCTTTGTGTGCTATTTGGAACGTGGCAACTCGCACTGCTGCACTTCGGTGCCAAGTTCTATGTTGAATCCAGCCAGCTCATAATTCACACAACTTTCAGTATTACTACCAATAAAATCAAATGATGCTAGGGAATAATGGGATCATAAAGACGAAGTCGGAAGGTTATTTGAATGTATTGATATTGATTTTGAGAGATAAATTGTCCTCAAAACGTCGTCATCAGTAAATAATACTGTATAACCCTGTGAACCTTTATCAAATTAATTAACTCTATGAAGAAATTATACTCTACAACAGAGTCCAAGTCACATTGTTATATCAATGACACCTAAGGTCTTCAAACTAGGAAGCTTGTCAACAAACTCATACAACTGTGTCAAGTTGAAGAAAGATTCACAAATCATAGAATATTGGCAACTATCGATGTTTAAAAGTTCATATGATTCCTAAATAGCTGCGAAATATAGCTCTTAATACATTTATTTAATCCTACTCCAAAGATATTGTGGAGATATGAGGATGACATTTTCGCAGTGTTAAAAACACAACACATTTCTAGTTTCTTCACACACACACACAACCTCACTAGTAAAGTGAATAAAATTCACATTTCAATCGGAAAATGAACAAGGAGAATTAGCCATAATGTTAGATTATAAAATCAAACGAACTGAAGAAGGCAAACTGTACACTAGCGTGTATAAAAAGGCAAAGCATTCCAATTGTTTTAATATAATAATAATAATTTGCTTTATTCCAAATTATTATTGATATTGATATTTGAACTTTAATTCACCTCATCCATTATCCGTGAACGCAGGCTGATTTAAGTGTCTAACAAACAGAGCAATAGCACTAAATGGTATACCGAAAAACCTAAATGATAAAATGAAACAGACAGGAGTTTGACCATATAAGGAGGGGACATCTGAGACCCTACGTGGGATTCTTGATGAGGCAGGAATCAAGATGGCATTTAAACCTACAAATTCACTCAGGTAGGACAAGCTCTTTAGGTTAAAAGGACCAAACTGACCCAATTGGACAAAATGACATAATTTACAAGATATTTTACAATGACTGTGAGTTAAGCCAACTACATAGGTCAGTCAAACCAGTAGATCGTGGGTTGTCAGATTATCAGAAAATAAGAATTTCGAAATAATGGAGAAGATTTGTAGCTCAGGTGGATGATTTTGATTTAGTTCTGTTCTCTGAGCAGCTGGTTGATAATATGAATTCAGCCCATTCCTCTCAAGAGTTCAGGTGTCCGTCGACTACACTAGTAACCAGATGAAATAGCGGCACACCTCTTACCCTACTGACAATCATTGTTACTCTACGAAATATGACATAGTCCATTTTTGAGTAGCCCTAGAAAGACTAAAGGGGAGCAATAAACAGCAACAGGTAAGGTGCAAGCGTTAGCATACCATAAAAGTAGAGGTTGAGTGATGCCTACCTGATTGTCCTAACTTTCTTAATGTAGTAGTTGAGACGGAACAGTTTTTTAGAAATCGACAAGATTTGGGGTGACCAAAAATGGTCAGAGGATAGAAATTGATTTGACTTAGTTTCTATTTCAGTACCCTCTATGCTACAAGCATCTTTAAA